GACACTTGTTTCCTGCACGTTCTGCAAACGGGATAGCCGTCTTCTATTAACTGTCCCTCAGCATTTTTCAGAAATCCCAAATATGCCCATACTTCCGATTTAGTCTTCTTTGAGGGCTGATGGATGTCCTGGGCGCTGCCGTCGCCTCCTTCGGCCATTATTTCAGCTTCAAAGTTTTGGTGCCGTTGCAAATTAAAAAGTGCGTGTGCGCGCCGCGGGAACTTCAGCTGAAGCGACGGTGGCTGGTAAGGGTCACCGCGCCGAAACCGCGGCCACGGTAAACCCACCGAGATAATATAGTTTTTTAAAAACTGGACGGTTATTTTTATTGTCAACTTTTTTACCGGGGTTTACCGCTATACCGGTTACCGTGACAACCCTATGAGTGATTCTTGAATGATGAAAAAAGCTACAATTTATTAGAATTATGAAAACATATATAAGACCATGTGACTTATACGTTGCCAAATGTTTCAGGTTACCCAAAGAGTGATCTTAGAAAGCAGTAATGTGTTTCAGTCACATGGGTACTTCGGACACTCTTAATGGTGTGGTTTCTCCTGATTGTAATTGGTCACTCTGAGTTTTTCATGCATGCTGAAGATGAAAATAATCTTCTACACCTATCTCCTGCATTAGCTTCTGATGGAAAATAGATGGTGAAACGCTAGGATTTGAAAATCCTTGCAGATCTATGTCACACTGTGAATTAACATTCATGGACTCACCGATCTTGACTCACAGCAAGTAAGGCTGTTGCTGTTTTAACGTGCTGGAATCAGCAGCGGATGTTTTGGCTAGTTTAAGCTAACTGTTAGCATTAGCAACTTCACCACAAAGCAGAAGCTTCTGCAGGCTTGTGTTATTTATGGAGATAAGACATCTATGTTGCAAGTCAGTGGTGTCGTGTTGCTGTTATCCAATCTGGCGCGAGATGTCCAGATATCAGGAAATAAGACTCCAAAGCCTGCCGTCTGATGCTCAGCATGTGTGATGTGGACTTTTAGGTCCGAGAAATGGTTTATTGGTGTATCTTTTTTCCCTGAGAAGGACTTAGCAGGCATTCATTCATACTAGAGACCACTGCAAATGTAATGATCAAATGAGTAAACCAGTCCTTTATAGAATTTAGATCAAATACTTGGTATTGATCTCAGATATGAGAAGGAAAAAATACACATTTTTTCTTTTAAGTTACTCTGCTTTTCTTATTCACATTTTAGTGACTTTTCTTTAGTTCTCTTCAGAATGTTGAGGAGAAAACAATAGTTGTGATAAATGAAGTTAGATAAATACAAGTTTTTAAATTTGACTAATTTTAAATTATTTAAATCAGCCTGTTTAATATATAAAGTTATACATGGTCTGGCGCCACCACCAATGAGTGATTTTATTAAACAAAAGTCTAGCAGTGTTGCTGGGTCTCGACTGACTCGAGCCACTGCTAGAGGTGACTGTGAACTGACATTCAGGCGGACTACCTTTTCACAGACTGCTCTCTCATACCAGGGAGTGACCTTCTGGAATAGTCTTCCACTATCTGTGAGGGAAAGTACCAGTCTAAACATCTTTAAGAGTCGCTTAAAACAGCGGCTGAGGGACACACAAACATGTGATCATGTCTAATACTTATATTTTTTATTTGTCCGGGAAAAGATTTGGTACAGTATTAAAAGGGAAACAACTGCTAGTGTAATGGGTGAATGTAATCTCACGACAGTCAGGGCATATGCAGTATCGGGGTTTGTGCAATACAATTGATGTGCTTCCGTTATTGCTGCCTATGTTGTTCTCTGTGTCCACTTTCTTTGACATTTATTTGTGTTAGTATAATGGGATGACTGTTTTTGTCTCTGTCACATGACTTGTAAATACTATCTCTGTATGTTTACACTACTTTGTGTCTAACATCAACCTGTCGGAGGGTCTGCAGATGGAAATTAGCCCAAGGCTATAATCTGGCATATTTACATTTATTGAAATGTTCATTAATATGTATTGCCCCTCTTCCTAAATAAATAAATAAATAAATAAAATAAAATAAAATAAAGTTGTGTACACATCACATGTGCTCAATTACTATGGATTTGAATTCCCTTGCAAACTAGTGTTGGTAGGAACTTTTAGTGTGCTAAGCTGTGCTGACCCTCAGCCAGGTACAGCATAAACAACCCCTGATTTTCAGTGGGGAGGCTGAATTTGTTGTAATCAGTTTGGAACATGTGAGCACAACAACACAGTGGGCTTGTAATCATGATGATTGGAGGTTCAGAAAGGTTGTGAGGCTATTGCTTATCAAATAAATGAAAAAAAAAACCTGATTATATACAGTGCAAATAGAAACAAACCTGCTGTTTTTTTAACCTTTTTAGCAGAACTGATGTTCTTGGACAAACCTTGCTACAACACTCCACAATGACAAATGCTTTTTCAAATAATCCTGCAAGCTCAGCAAAGCGTTCTTTTGTTCTTGGCAGTTGGATTGACCCAGTTCCAGAGCAGCTCTTCAATGCCTTATTCTATAATCTTAACTGATATCTGGTTCCTGGTCTTCAGAAGCCTTTTATGTGTTCTATTGCCAGAGGACCTGAGCACCCTCTAAAAGGTTATTAGTCAGCACTTAGGTAACTTTTTGTGTCTCTTTTTCTTGTTGCAGAAAGCAGTTTAGACCAGTGGTGTCAAATCCTGGTCCTGAAGGGACTTTATTTTATGCTTTAGGTGCTGTTTTCTCTCCCAACACAACAAATTTAATGGTTAAAATGGTTAAAGTTTGACCAAAATGTTTTAATCACCCATTTATTCAAATCGGGTGTGATGGAGCAGAAAACATACATGCACAATAGTAAACCTTAAGGACCAAATTCGTTGAGAAACTGCTTTTTACTTGTTATTTTTTTAAATATGGTCGGTCAGTCTGAGTGTCACATCCAGATTAAATGTGAAAATAGTCTTCTAGCTCTGTTCCCTGCAGAATTCATGTACTCACCCATCTTGGCTCATGACAGGGATGGCTGTATTGATTTAATGTCTAGGACAGGGGTGCCCAGTTCTCGTCCTGCAGGGTCACTATCCAGCATCTTTTAAGTTTCCCTGCTGCTACAGCCTTGATTCAGTGGTTGAACCCAATGTTCGGCTGGTCATCAAGCTCAGCAGAAGCCTGTTAATCACCTGCTGATTAAAATCAAGTGAGCTGGAGAAGGGAAACAACAGCATAAAAAAACTGGATAGTTGCTTTCAGGACTGTGATTGCATACCCCTGGTCTAGGAGAGAGCACAGTGCACCTCAGCTAGCAGAAGCTAACCATTTGCATTAGTACTCCACCACTTTGCAGAACTTTTGTTATCAGGCAATCAGAGGTGAGATGTCAGAATATCAGGAATAAAGACTCCAAATCCTGCCGTCTTCTGGTCCTCTGATCTGGCTCACTTATACTTCCCGAAACAGGAGCACCCGAGCTTTTTTTCCCCACAGGGACTTAACTCGCAATGCATTCATTTATATTAGAGACCACTGCAAATGTGTTGAAATAAGCAAGTGAACTTGGTCTTGAAGGACTTGGATTGGACACCACTTATAATCTATATTAATGAGATGATGTTTAGTGCCTTGTTATCTTTAGGGAGGTAAGTAGGTTTCTGCTTTTTCTCTGCTCTTCCATTAAACCCTTTAGTAGTTTATCATGTGCATCTTTTGGAATAGCTTCTGTCTAGTTATTCTATCATTGAGAGCTCGATGTGGAGGGCTGTGCTAATGGATGTTCCCTTGTTGATTTGTCCATTGTCATGTCAGGAACTCTGAATCTTCTCTATGGCTATTTTTTATCATACTGTTCACCTTTCTGTTATTGTTTGTCTTTGATTTTTCTGCTCAGGTATGTTTTTACAAATTGTTAAAATAAATCCCTAACTGTGAAACTTAATATAGACTAGTATGCTACTGGGAAGCTTCTCTGTGACTTTTCTATTATGCCCATTACACTTAGTCCAAAATTTAAGCAGCAGAAATAGAACTGAATTTGTTTGACTTTAACAAAACTGTATTTCTAAAATGAGCATTCCAACGTGACTTCTACTGTACTTTTCACATTCGGCTGCCTACACTGAAGCGTGAATGGCTGAAGGTCATTTATTCATCATCAAGTCAACAAAGACTTGCCATACATTCGGAGAAGCAGCAGATTCATAAATGCAATTCTTTATTTTAGTTTTTGAAGACAGTTTTCTGCCCTGAAATATGAGGATACTAAAATCTAAGCAATGCATCTTTAAAGGTGCATTGTCGGTACCATCTGTCATCAAGTTTGAAGGAGAAAAAATCTTCCGATTATGCCGCTAAACTTTTATTTGACAGTTTTGTGTCGCAGCATATTTCAGTCTCAGGGCTTGAGCGTCTCCTCCAATTGTTCTGCCACCCTAAACTGAACTTCCAGCTGCTACTTCTCTTTTCTGCATCTATTGTCAACATTAATACTTCTCAGTTCATCCAGTTATTAGTGTTTAGCTGCTGGTTTGTGCTCTCTTCCCACCACTGTCAGTGTGCAGTACTGTCCTCCCAGAGGGGATGGATTCAGTGATTTCCTGGCATTGCCCTCTTGACCTGCTGAGACCGGCAGTCGTATCTAAAGCCCAGATTCTTTCCGCTCTCCTGTCATTTTCAGTTTGACCCATTAAGAGCTTCTTCTTGCACCATCTTTCACCATCTCTCCTGCTCTTCTGATTAAAGTCATCCATCTAAATATTGTCTTTTTAAGTGCGCTTTCAAAAGCAGAAACTACACTATTGAGTTTTGCATTGAACGGTTTCTTAAATCACCGCCTGGATGAGATTGTCTGAGTGTGTCTTTGTTTTATTCATGCACAGTGCACACAGTGAAAACAATGTGCTGTGCAAGAGTGAATACATTGCACAGTTGCATTATGTTTTTGTACACACAGAAAATGAGAAAGTGATGTATGCAGCACATTATGAGAGTCTGTTTTCTTCTTCATTTTTCCACACAGGCCCTTGCCATCCAAACCCCTGCCACAACAAAGGAACATGTGAGATCAGTGAGACCTACAGAGGAGACACCTTCATAGGTTACGTCTGCAAGTGTCCAAGAGGCTTCAGTGGCGTTCACTGCCAACACAGTAAGTGAGGCCTCCTTTTGATTTTAGCTCTCAGTGTTTTCATATATACTGTATTTATCATCATGGGGAATTTCCAATAGGTTACTGGGGGAAAAAAAACTGCTGTTAAGGGGCAGAATTTCACAAATATTGAGATCTTTAGAAAATGGAAAAGAAGAGTTGTTCATGTTTTCAGAATTAGAATGTACTTTTTTATTTTTACTCTAAATGTTAGAAAAATGATGCTTGGAATCACCTCTGGAGGGGAAAAAAAGTCTAGACAATATTATAATATTAAAATTAATCTAAAGGAAACCAAAAAGTGCTTATTAAAGAGATGTGCAAAATCATAAAATTATAGAATGTTGTGTAATGGGGATTGTTAAAAATCGGCTTCACAGAAACAGATGAGCCATGTTCATACTAGGGATGTAAGAAGATATCGGTATGGCAATACATCATGATTTTTTTCCCCCTGCATTATTAAATCGATATTCAAAACTGTGTATCGAAAAATTTCGAACATTTTTCACGCAAACATTTGTGTATTTATTTTCTTTTGGTGCAATTCAAACACAGACCGCTAGTTGGCAGCAGTGTGCAATGGGTTTTGTTTCCATCATTGAAATGTAAATCTCTCTATCATGGATCAGATACCTCAATTAAACCTGTTACGTATCAGTTGGGACTGTTTATTGAACTTTTCTACAATAATTTTAGGCAAAAAAAATTGCTATCCTCTGGCTGAATTTACCGCAATATATCGTGACATATCGTATCGCCAAAATTTCACCAATATCGTGATGCAAACTGCAAGGTATGATGGATCCTTATTGGTTTGATGTAGAATGAAGGACACACTAAGAAAGAATAACAGGGGGGGGGTGGGGGGGACTGATTCTGCTGTGACGGGAATATCGCAAAAATGTAGAACGAATATTTTTATAGAAATCTGGTATATTTGTGATGGTCATTATTTATTTTCATATCATTTTTCTCATTTGTATTCCTTTAGACAACACATACAGATATTAGGTGAGGCACTGTATCAGCTGGGTGTCATTGTCTTCATTTAAACCAAGAATGGTGAGAAATTGGCCATCATGTCATAATTCAGTTATTGTTTCCTATTAAGCCCTTAGGGTAGTGGCAAACTGATTCGATACAGGCTGAACACACATTGTCTGCAAATTTCCCTCAGGGTCATTGCAGTTGAATGGAAAGGAACATATCTGAGGACATTAATAATCAAAGCTGTGTCTAAATAACTCCCACAGATAAAACGTGAAGGCACATACTTGTCTATGTTGGAGTATGCCTAAGCTTGTTTTCTTATTTTGTATTGTAGGTTTTTAATTAAAGAATGGCTCACATTAAAACATATGGAATTAGTCCAATAGAAAAAATAATGAAGACAGTTTGTTTCAGACAAATGCTGCAAGCTTTATTACATCATCATTCAATGATAATGGTGCATTGGCTGACTCTAATGTGCATGTTTCCTGTGTTGGTGGCATTATCTCTGGTCTTTCAAATTATGATGACTAGCAACAGTCGTGATTTATGGTCTGGGTCTTCTGCAACCATTTTGCGGTAGTATTTCACACATGCTAATCATTTTGGTTATGGCTTTGATGCAGTCTCAGAAATATGCAGAAAAATCACGTTTTCCCTGTCACGCAAAAGACAGACGTCATTATGAGCATAAATCAGTAAAGGACTTCTTAGCTTTTAACCCTCTCAGACTCAAAATAAGTTTTGATAAAAGGATGAACAACTAAGTCCTTCAGGGGTACTTCTGAGTAAAAAAATGCTCATGGAATACGTATGTGGAGTAACCAGGTAGGTAGGTTTTAACTGTTGAAAATTCACAACGCCTGCCTCCTGGTGGTTAATCAATGTTTGCACTTTTTTTATTCTTTTTGTTTTATGAAATTGGTTGGTTTTGCCCTCTTCAGCATGTGCTTTCAAATCCTCACCTCTGATTGTTTTGCATTTGTTAGATGTTCAGATGACTGTATTAAAATGTGTCTGAATAAGTTAAAAAAATGCACTCAGTAGAGCATACCGACTCTTCACTCCATCGTAGCATCTTTGGGTTTTATATATGACCTTCAACTGGATCCTGGACATTACAGTATGACTGATTTCTCTGTGCTGGAATTGTTGATGACTAACCGCTTTTGTAAATGTCTTCCTAAGTGTATTGAAGCCCAAATGAGAAATCTCAACGTTGCAATGTCTTACCATCATATTGCTGGAATGTTGAACATTAAAAAGGAAGGCTGTTGTTGGTTTATCATCCAGGAAACAGCAGAGAATGTCCCAGCTGGTAGAAACTAATCGTTAGCATTAGCAACTCTACAATGCAACAGAACTCCTTCAGGTTTGAGCTATTTGTGGAGATGAAACATCACTGTTGCAAAGCAAATGGAGTTAGTAGTAGAGTTGCATTAATGTTAGCCAATCAGAGCAAGACGTCCAAATATCAGGAAATAAGACTTCTAATTATGTCAGGTTCAGCGCATCTGTGATCTGGCTACCTGAAACATGCTCATCGGAGCTTCCCCCCCCCCCCCCCCCCCCCCCCCACCCACCCCCCGAGTACAACTTGCAAGGCATTCATTCCTAGTAGAGACAGAGACCACTGCAAATCGCTGTTCGGGGGCCACAAAGAAGGTACTCAATAGGTGGGACCCAATAGTGGCCTGGCACGCAGGGCCACCTATTGAGTACCGCTGGATTCAATTGTTAAAAAGAAAAACGCACTCCTGGATCTCTGGGACTTGGAGCTCCTTCGATCTCATACTCATCTTTGGGGGGCAGATCTGTAGCCCCTCACGCTCTCTATTGGATAATCCTGTAGAAAAACCTTACATATGCAAGCGCGTGTACGCACACAGGTGCTCACATGGTGCTCTCGTAAGTATGTACTTGGGTGTTTTCAACACACGTCTTAAGGCTGTGACTGAGACAAAATGCACTGTGATTTATTATCGTGTGATTGTTCAGTAAAACTATGTTGATTTTATATTTCCTCATCAGGTTGACACAGTGATAGCTTGCTCTAGTTGTATTGTTGTGTGTCCCTTTCTTTTTTTTTTGTTACTTTTTCTCTTTCTGCAGGTCTAGAAGCAGACTCTTGTTCATCATTGATTGTTTATTTTTGTCCCCCCCCCCCCCCCCCCCCCATCTCTTCCTTTCTCTTTCACCTCTGTCTCCGTGTCTGGTGGGAATTATAAAGCATTCAAAAAACAATAACAATAAATTTGTAAGTATCAGGCGTGACATTAAAGCAGAAGCTTTGTTGCTCCACCTGAGAGTAAATCTGCTAGGCTTGTCATCAGCATTCAGACATCAGTTCTGTTTGCTTCACAGCCAGACAGGACACGGAAGATAAAAAAAAGCCAAACAAACAAAAAAAAGAGACAAATGCACAGCGAGAGCATAGGCTTTTCTTTCGGTTCTACAAACACACCCTCGGGGGTGCTAAAAGCAAGCCAAAACTGCCTACACCCCCCTCTTAAACCCATTGTAGTTTAATTTTCACAAATCAGAAAGTGTAAGAAATGTGGGAACACTTGAACTGGGGTTCGTTGGCGATTTATTGCAACAAATAGAGAAATAATTAAGACACTTTGAAGCCAACTCTACAAAAACAAAAAACTGCATTCATGCTATGCTTATAAAACATATAATTAAAGTGTTATAAATACCAACTCACTTGGATTTCAACTGAAAATGTTCACATTTTTCTCACATTTAGTGGTCTAACTAGTCACCAACAGCTGCAGCCTAGTGGCATTCTGGTCTTATCTGGTTGAAGAAGACTGGATGTCCTGCTTAGTGATAAAACATAGCAAGTTCACCAACACTTGTGCACTTTAAAGAAATATTTGTATATTTTTGCTGTTTATTTGTATTCAGGGATTGCGATACAAGCAACCTAAATCCAGGACATATATACGGAGTTTGAGGATAATGCATCAACTTATCTGTTCATCTTCAAATGCTCTGCCCTATTTTGTACGGTTCTAACCTAAAATTAGTGTAAGCCAGGCCCGGCTTTTTGCTGTTGCTTTTAATACATCTTTACTCTGTCAGAGCCAAATTCAATTTCACACCTTTGAACGTTATCCTGAATATGTGCACCACATATCCTGCTTGTTAGACTGGTTTTATGAAGCACAGCGAGGAATGAGGTCATATATGAACAATAAGGAGCAGGAGTAAGCTATTTAAAACTTAAGGCACTTCATGCACACATTTAATGTTTAGTTGTTTAATGCTACCTCATTTATATCAAATATTAACCACATGATGTTTTAAAATTCACTTTTGGAGGTTTTATTTCATTCAGCCAGTTTATATGGATCTAAATGTTACATGATCTCTCTGTTGGAGAGTAGATAAATGGATTTTGCTCTATTCGTGTATGTGTTTTAGAAGTTTTTGTTGGACAGTAGTACAAGGACAGATGGATCCGTTGGGTGGACATTCAAGCCATTTCTAAAACAGTTAAAACCGCATTTAAAATAAAGAAGAAACAAGGTTAGCTTTCAGTTTAGTGTCATTGCTCCAACCATTATTATTGCCATGTCATTTATCTCTGCCGTCATGTCCCTGTGGTGACAAGAGAACAAGTGTGCTGTTATTGGGCGACTAGCCAAACGCTGTAATGAGCTGTCACAGTGTGAAGATTGGGACTGATTGCTTCAGACGTCATGAGGTTGCAGATCATTTTTCGGGCATGCTTTTTCAGTCATCAAGGACAAAGTTACAGTAAACCGTTGGAGTTTTTGTGTTTTTCTGATCTAGAATTTCTCACATGACAACAGAAGCAGCCTGACGTTTTGACTCATGCAAACACCATCATTTGATGTGATGCGGTGCTAGATTTCGCCTGATTTCTCCAAGTCTTTAGCAGAGATGCAGTATGCGATTCCAGGTGTAACTGCCAGTGGAAACTAATGGTGGAAATGTTTCCAGATGGAAGAAACCATGATGGAAAGGAATTAAAT